ACCATATTTTATATTACAATTATTTTTTTTGACTAAATTATTATATTACTGTCTGGCAAAACGACCTGTTTCTCTTTGTTTGCCATAGTCATAAATTGTTAGAACAAAGACTGTTTATTAACATGGAAGAGATCGCTGGATGACGGACATGTTCTAGTCTGTTGTGCCGCTAGCTGTGTAAATAGGATTCTCATCATTAATTACTGAGTTGTGTTTTTGCGCTAATGAGACCGTTATGTTTGTTTGTGGGTAGTGTAACTATCTGAGTATCTCTAGAGCGAGTGCTGCAGTCTGTGCATGTGATGTGTGTGTAATGCTGGGGTTGGTGTGATGTGTGTGTGTATTACTGAGGTGTCTGAGCGCTGCTGAGAGGGAATCTGTTTTCTGCATCCGCTACAAGCTCTAATTAAATCAGCTCAGTGTGTGGCAGGGTCTCGCCCATCAGGTGCCATGTGCTGTGTGTGTAAGTGGTCGGCATGTTGGCTTGTAATTTACACTTTTACACAGAGAAGCTTGTTTAAGGACCTAGAATTATCCATTTGAACCATTTTCAGCTCTGTATTTCCTTCACGTTAGAAGCATTACAATACTGTTTTTTACTATAATATGAATATCATTTTTTTAAATGAAAAAATAATAATAATTATATTTAAATTAATACTTTTAATTAATAATTAATCATTTTAAAATTAACTAAATTAACTAAAACTATATCAATGATATCAATTAACTAAAACTATTAAAATATTTCTGTTAATTGAAATACATTTTAAATAAAATAAAATATAAATAATAGTTTTAGTAAACTAATAATACAAATAAATGAAAATTAGAAATGTTGCCTTGACAATAATCTGAAATGTATACGTTGAAGCACTAAAATGATTAAATGGAAATTAATAAAAACTAAAAATAACTAAAACTGAAATAGAAATAAAATTAATTATGCATATATTGCAATATATATTAAAAATAATCAAATGACAAAAGCACAACAAAATTACTAAAAATGAATAATAACTATTATAAGAATATTATAATAAAACTAAGATAGCACTGATTCGAATAGGATGATTATTACAGTATAAAAATAACCATTTTATATATAATTATTTTTGGGAGGGGTGAAATATGATATTTTCATATTTTTGGGTTACACTTTATTTTAAGGTGGCATAGTTTCATTGCACTGTACTGTAACTGTCACCATTTCTTTATTAGTAATGATAATAAGTCATTTAAATAGTTATTTTGTTCAAATGGATGTGACATGATTGCTCTGAAAGAGGGAATCTAACTCCTTTCCACATTTAAAAGCATCTGTGACTCTCAACATCTCTCTCTCTCTCGTTCTATATGTGTGTGTTAATGTGTCATTCTTACTACAGTGAAGGATAATGCGGCGGAGAAGTTGCTCTCTTACAACAGGGCAAACCGTGCGGTTGCAATTCTATGTAACCATCAGCGGGCGCCGCCAAAGACCTTCGATCAATCCATGGCTAACCTGCAGGCAAAGGTACTGGAGATATGAGACTGAATAGTAAAAGAAGAAGCATATAAAAAAAAACATGAAAGAAATGTTTACAGGGTACCCCCAGGATCCTCCAACTTAAATTCAAGGCTTTTTAAGACCTTTTTAATACCATTTCAAATGAAATTCAATGCCAACTTCGTACCCATTCCGACAGAAGTATAAGGGGAAAATGTCAAATCTGTATACATTTTAAACCCTAGAAACTAATTATGTACAAGGCTACTTGAATTAAATAAAACATTTTACTTAAATTATCAGTCATATTTAATACATACGCAACAGCATTGTAGCGCGCACGTGTATGTAGGCCAGTGTTAATTTTGGCAGCCATTTTTGATTTACGAAAATGCTTATTGGTCTTAATCACATTTGAGTCATCCTGTTTTTTATAGTTGTAGTTGACGAAAAGTCTTTGCATTTTTTGTCAACTTTTAGTCAAACTGCAGTTACTTTACAGGTAGTTATTTTATATGTAGTCTTTAGACAGAAAATGTCATAATAATTATTCTCTCTAGGCCAATTCAATTAAGCTTATGATAAATTATTGACATTGCACTCTTTAGCAGTAGCACTTGTGCAGTTCTACATAATTTGGTTTTCCAATGTTTTAGAGTGCCGTACCCCCTGGTGCAGTCACACCTTTTCTATTAAGGGACAAGATTTGCCCCCTTTAATACATTTTTTCATTTCATTTTTTTCCTTTGTAATACCTTAAAAAAAAAAAATAATAATAATAATGCTTTAAATAAAACAATGTTCATTAAATTTGCAATGTTAAAAAACTTTAAAATCGCCAGTAGGTGGCAGTACCTCACTATCTTTATGAGTGAGTCTTTGAGTCATTCATTCATTGAATCTCACGATTCGTTCAAAGCCACATATTTCGTTGCAAAACAGAGCAAGCCTGACAATGCTGTTTTAAATGTAGTACATCACTTAATGTTACCCTTTTTTCTTTTCTTTTTTACTGTTGTATAAAATCAATGTCACGCTTGAAATCGTGTGGATATTCGGGAAACATTGCATTCTTGCTCGTATGAACACTGGTGGATATCAGCCTGCATTTTGATCACAGATTTAGTCGCACAAACAGCGCAAGCGGCTCGTGACAGAACACAGACCGACTGAATGACACTTGAATTTAAGTAGAAAATCTTAAATAAAGATCGTTGAACTCCAGCTTGTCTGTGTTTTCAGATCATCCGCGCTTCTTCAGCACTGTAGAGAGAACGCGCGCGCATGGTTGCCAGATACTATTGAAAAGACCGGGTAGAAAATATGCTCTTTTAACAGAAAAGCTCTTATTTGGGGTTTAAATTCTGTCATTTGTGGCCACAGCGGATTCAACTAGGCTATCTTGTTCTGTACCTCACTTGCCTAGTAACCATAGTAACGGTGCGCACGCTATCGCTTTTTCTGCTATGACGTGGAGCGCGAGGTGCACTCAACGCTGCATACATTTTGAATTAGCCTACATTAGTAACAGTTAATTTTGTTACGGTATGAACTTAATCCTAGCAAAGGAAAAAAAATATATAAGACCTTTGTAACGAAATCCAAGACTTTGTATACTAAATTCAAGGCTTTTAAGGCCTTAATTTGAGATGATCAAATTCAAGACTTTTTCAAGGCTTTTAAGACCCGCGGGTACCCTGGTTTAAATATGATGCTGTTTTATTAGGTTTGTTTTTCCTCTCTTCTCTTGCTCCTTTTAGATTGACAGCAGGAAAGAGCAGCTGGACTTGGCTAAGAAAGAGCTAAAGCAGGCCAAGAAAGAAGCTAAAGGGAGCTCAGACAACAAGCTGCTCACGTCAGTATCTCATCCCAGAAAAGCGGCGTTTATTTGCTCTTCCAGCCTTTGGAATCGTTTCTATACATGAGTATGGTATACTGTGTTTGTGTTTAGTGTGGTGGAGAAGAAGAAGAAAGCTGTGCAGAGGTGTGAGGAACAGCTGCTGAAGATGGAGGTTCAGGCTACAGACAGAGAGGAGAACAAACAGATCGCCCTGGGCACCTCCAAACTCAACTACCTGGATCCACGCATCACCGTGGCCTGGTGATGATGTCACACTCAAACACACAAACATGCTATACTGATAGTTTTGTTATATATCAAAATGATTATTTCAGTGTTTTACTTTATTTTCTGCTTTTAGGTGTAAGAACATGGAGGTGACGCTGGATAAAATTTACAACAAAACCCTAAGGGATAAGTTTGCCTGGGCTGTCGACATGACTGAACATGACTTTGTGTTCTGAGTGGGTTTTGTTCATTTTTCAATTCAACCCAATGTTTTATGCAAACATATATATTTTAATCGAAACTGTTAACTGAATTGTACAGCCATGTTCTTTGGTGATATTGTTGGCACTTTATATATATTTTTTTATATATATACATATATATTGTTTATTCAAATTCAGCTGTTCAAATTATTTTAAGAGTTCAATAAATGTTCATTCCTTGTAGGGAAACCTTTCAAGTCCTTTTTTTATGTAAATGACCACAAAAGTTTTTTGGGAGACACATGTTTTAAATTTCACCTCAAAATCTGAAATAAATTAAAATATAAGGTAATTGTTTTACCATAAGGATTTTTTTGTTGTTGTTGCAGTGTGACATTATCACAATTATTCTAATTATAATGATGTGAAAAATAATACAGTAATGAAAGCCTTCTGGTCCAGAATTAATTTTAACAGATGATCTTCTTATATTATTATTAAAAAAAACATAAATTAAATTACATGTGACATATACTGGCATGATGTATGAATACTTTTTCAATTTAATGTAAACTATTATTGAATTTAGTTTTTTTTTTCTTTAGTTAAAATATTTTTTATTTATCTTGGGGCAAAATGCCAAGACATGTTTTGACAGATTTTTTTGAGACTGATCTGTTTAGATCCAGTGTAATTCACCAATATACATCACTACAACTATTTTTCCTGATTTAAAATTAGATATTTCAACGTAGATTGTCTTTGATAATGGTGTGACTTGACTTTATAATTTCTAAGGTGTTAAGGCATTAATCATCAACTTACCCAGCTTACATATTGACCAATTATAACAGTCATTTTACATTTCCAAGAATTCAATCTGTTAGTGTATTTGAGGCATTCACTTTCATTTTGTCATTTGCATGTCAAGATATGTTTCTTTGACATATTTAACTTGCCCCTACCAGTAAATAATTGGAGGTAAAATAGTGAATGGGTTAATCTACCAATATAGAGAGATGAGGCCACAGGTTTTAAGAAACAACTTTAATTCAACAAATTTATTTGAACAGGAATGGTGTTAGGTTGGCACTTGGGCTAGTGCTGTTATTACAGTAACGCAGGGTTCGTTTCTACAGTTGGATGTCATGTTTAAAAAGTTCTTTGCTGTCCATAAAGGAAAAAGGGTAGCACACAGTCACAGCATTAAGACTGACTTGAATTCCTGCTAAATATTAAAAAAAAGCATCACATCAAACCAAAATATGTTAGTCACCATAGAGAAAATCTTGCTGCTCCTGAATAGTGTGTATAGTGTCTTCTCAGCATCCTGTGAAAGATAAGTGCATTTGACTAAAGTATGCCAGAATTAAATGTCATTTAGAATCAAACATTCACATCAAACCTAAAGCACTTTTAAGCAATTGAAATCAAATTAAACTACCTCTACTAGGAGGCCTCTCCTCCCTCTTTGACCTTGTTCTCTCCTTCATTCTCTTCCACTCCTGCCTGAGTCATCAGGTCTGCTATGTTCTTCTCTAGATCATCGATGCGGGTGCTCATTTCATCAAGTGAATCTTGTTAAGGAAGATGGGAACTAGTACAGCTGATAACCCACATTAAGTGAGAGCTTAAAGGAATATTTGCTTATGATTTTGATTTGTAAACAAAAGGGTGTATTCTAAACTTCTAATCTAATAGTACTGAATTAAAACATTCATGCATTTGTATTTTTGTAGAGTTTAGGCGATAGGATTTTGATGATGTGGTTGTCGTAAATGCGGTAAATTCTGGTTCTGTGAAAATGTGGAGCTTTCAGCAGAGATTAGCATAAGATGCCCGACCGTCCTGTTCAATAATGGCGGTTGTGGCATTTTAATGGTTTAAAGACCTGGATTAATCTCTCCAATATTGACAGTTTGACCTGCCTCACATTTATAAAACATTCTAAGGCTAAAAGTAAGGCCTTAATTGCAGATTTAGAAGAAACTCTTAAAAATAATTGGCGTGTCAGTCCTAATTTCACAAAGCATTTTAGCGTTAAAACTAGCCCCTAAATCTATAAGTAGTCAAGAGGACTCCTAAGTCACTAAGACAAAATCACAAATAATCCTAATGGCTGTTGCTGGCAATCCGCCCAAAGATACTACACCTACCTACACCTGAGGCAATAGCGATAGAGCCTTGGGTGCTGAACCTTTTTTTTCATAAATGCAATAAATGTGATTTTTTTACTTATAGAATTTAATCTACGATTAAACACCAAAAAATAAATCTGTATTAAATAAATAAATAATGTCTGACTACCAGTAGCAGTTTTCACGAGTTCACACTTACAAAGTAAAAAAATATATAATAAGCATATTTGGCGTGCGGTCTAAAAGGATCGAGGGCTCCGAGCTTGAAATTTTGCCCAAACGCAGAGGTCTCCCCTGTATATCCCCAGCCGAGAGTGAGGGATGCAGAAAAGTGTGTCTGCTGTCTGTGTATATATGTACCTCCTCTCGAGCTGATTAGATAGACCGTTTGAACGTGCTCCTCCCGAACTTTGTTTATAAAACATCATTTGTCGCTTGAATTCTGCAATCTCTTTGAGATGCAGACATGTAAGAGGCTGACAAATAGCTGAACATATACTAGTTTAATTAATGACACTTTATTTGAATATGGCAAGATTTTTATTTTAAAATCATTATGATGTGGGTCTCTCTGTCATTAATCATAGATATTATTGTAGAATTCAAATTACGGTATACTGTCCTTGTCCAGAAACGAAATAAAGACATCATCAAAGAAGTCCATGTGACACCAGTGGGTTAGTTAGAATGTTTTGAAGCATCGAAAATACATTTTGGTCCCAAAATAACAATACCTACGACTTTATTCAGCATTGTATTCTCTTCCGGTTCTGTTGTCAAGCCGCGTTCAGTGACGCTGATGACTTAAGACGCTGCTGACGTGTTATCTGGTGCGTCCGTGTATTCGGGTTCAAATAAATATGACAAAAAAATGTCTTCCTCTGTGTCGAAATCCTTAGACATGTTTGCGAAGATTGTTTTGTTTGTGTCCCTCAGACTGTAAACGAAGCTCGGGCGCACCAGATAACACGTCAGCAGCGTCTTGCATCATCAGCGTCACTGAACGCGGATTGACAACAGAACCAGAAGACAATACAATGCTGAATAAAGTCGTAGTTTTTGTTATTTTTGGACCAAAATGTATTTTCGATGCTTCAAAACATTCTAACTAACCCACTGATGCCACATGGACTACTTTGATGATGTCTTTATTTCCTTTCTGGACAAGGACAGTATACCGTGTATACATTTTCAATGGAGGGACAGAAAGCTCTCGGACTAAATCTAAAATATCTTAAACTGTGTTCCGAAGATGAACGGAGGTCTTACGGGCTTGGAACGGCATGAGGGTGAGGCATTAATGACATAATTTTCATTTTTGGGTGAACTAACTCTTTAAGACTTCTCTCTATTCCTTAGTAAAAGTTGGTCTTAGTAGCTTTGTGAATAGGTTTTAAGAGAAAACTCTTAACTAAGAACTTTTACTGCCATTAAGTAGTGGTAAGATACAATGTTTTGTGAATACGGCCTCTGAGCTCTAGATACTGAACCCTGAATAACACAGTGAACTCATGCTGGCTGGCACATAGATTTGAGCCAGAATAAATCTCATGGTTATAGACCTTTTTCAGAGCAGCGCCGTGACAAGTATGAAAGCGAGGCTGAGGGATAGACTTGTAGTGTCCACTGTAAAAAGCTGTATAAAGCTCCAAGATCAGTTATTTTTCACAGCTCATGTTGTCTGGAGTTTTTTTGTCTACTGATTTTTTTTCTTGGAAAGATAAATTTGCAGTGTTTTTTTCAGCAGAAAAATCCAAAAGCATTCAATAACAGTACAACCCATTGAAGAGATGTCTGTCTATCCCTCACATTTTTTTTTTTATTCCAGTTAAAAATCCGAGATGACGCTGCTGTGAATAAGGCCTATTGCTATCAATACAAATCGAAAGATTGTCTTGTATGGAAGCCCATTTCTACCACAAAAGGGGGGAAAAAATCATGCTTTGGTAAATCTTCATTATGACATTAAAAGTCATAAGACATTGTAAGTGATATTTATAAGATGGAAAAAAATTCTCACTATCAACTAGTTATTAACATGCATATTACTAGGATATTGGCTGTTTATTAGAACTTATAAATCACATATTAATGCATTATTCTGTATGACTATATTCTACATCCCTTTATCCTACCCAATACCTAAACTTAGCAACTACCTTACTAACTGTCAATAAGTAGTAATTAGGAGTTTATTGAGGCAAAAGTAGTAGTTAATAGTCAGTAAATAATGAGAATTGGACCCTAATCTAAAGTGTGCCCAAATTCAAAATATGACATTCAAAGTCAATTTTAATCATAACTTTGTAAGTCACATTTCGATTCATTATGACATAATTTAAACTGCATCTCAATTATGACTTGGTATGGTAAAATTTCGACTGTATGTCATTATGATTTACAAATGCTTGCTTTTTCTTTTCTTATGTGGCGTAAATGGGCTTCCAATACTATTTAAGTAATAAAGCAAATCTGCTAAATATGAAGTAACCTCACTTAAACACTTAATAGCTTGATGTGATCTTAAAATTTGAGGTATATCGGAGACTACTGGTGCCTACTTGGAAAAAGTCTATTGCTCTATAAAAAAATCAAGAAAGGATATTTCTCCCGATGATCTGGTCTGACATTGTCTGGAACTTGTCCTGCATCTGCTGCAGCAATGTCTGCACCTGTAAAGGGGAAACATGCATTCAATCTAGCGTGTATAAATGCACAACGATATGTAAATATGTTAAAATAAAACATTATAACAAATTAATCTGCTTCTTTAAAACACAAAAATCATATTATCCGAAAAATATCTCATTCGAAACGTTAAACGAAGTTTATATCGCATCAAAATATTCTAAGTAGAACAGATAAACATGGCCTAGCATTAGCCTAGCTTAGCAAACCACAACAATTTCGTTCATTTTCAAACCTACCACTGCTGTGAGATCCTGAACCGATTTCGGGTCTGTTTCGGCCATTTTTTTTTTAAATAAATAGATTTGTACAACAGCAAAATATGTTTATTCTTCTTAAAATTGTGTATCCTCCCAGCTCTTTGCTTTCTAAAAATCAGCTGTTGGCCAAATCACGGAGTCGTGACAAATATCGCGAGATTTTAGAGACCTCTCGGCGAGAGATTCCCTCAGCTGCAGGCACGCACATCGGCTTCTGGCGTGATCAGACAGACGCGCAGCAGCAGGGCAGTGCTGCTCATCCAAAAGATGCACTCATTGATTTCATCTATTAAAACCAGCGACACATTTACAGCAGGATATGCCAGAATTTAGTTAAATGATTCAGCTGATTTTGTTGCTTAATGATAAAAACAGTTGTTGTGTTCATTTATTTATTTTTACATTGTAGCCTAGGTGTAGGAGAGACAGAGATTACCAAAAGTCTTTGTTTTTTGATAGAGATATTTTGGCCTTTAAGCAGTTTTAAAGTCACATTTAAGAAGACTATAGGTTCAAATGGGAAAAACAAAATATAGATTGGACGATAAGTTATTTTAAAAAGATGTGGTTGTCATATTTGTTCAGTTTATAAAGGATAGGCTAGCCTAAAAGGGTCGTTGGTTTGTTGTTGTTGTTGTGACGTTAAACTTTACTGTCAAAATGAGTAGGCCTACAATAGCGCTATATTTGATTTGATAAGATCTAGGTGTTCTCCCTGTTTATCTTTTTCCCCTCTTCCTCTGTAGACCGATAAAGCTGCGCGCGGCCAAGCCCACATCTCCAAACTGCATCAGCCTGATTTAGACTTGATGATGTCTAGATGATACAGCATGCATGAGTGTGCTGCTGCTATAAGGCTTAGTTGTCAAACAAGTCTTCGCCCGAAATAAGGTATGCTTGAAATTACTACGTTTTTCTTTTCTTTGCAACTTCTTTCTGTTAATCAAACTGTTACAGTAAAGCGAAACCTGCTGAATATGCAGAGTTTCGAGTAGTGCATAAGCTTCTTTCGCGGTGCATGAATTGCTGATCTGGGAGTTCTTAAAAGGCGATACTGCATTAATGTTCACTCTGATTCATCAGGTTCACTTTACTGAACAAGACAAAACATGCAGTTAAATTGTACACGCAGTTTAGGCAATCCCTGAGTGGTTTGTCCATATCCTCCTTCGTGATAGTTTAACGAATCGTTCTTTTGAGTCGGATCTTTTTCGATTAATCGTTTGGGATTTTGTTCACGATATGAACTGATTCGGTAAATGCGGTTCTCGATGTAAAATGAACCTTTCGTATAATCCGGATATCCATGTCCTATTCGTAATGGAGTGAGTGATGTTCCATGAGTGCAGATTATAGAACGCATGGTAAGGCGAAGTTACTTTAATTACTTAAATAAAAGTGACTGTTTGTTTACAACTCGATTGTATGACAGCTTGTCAGCAAGCATGTGGATCATATTGTTTTAAATAACTTACATAACTTTACACCTGATGAATTAATTTACCTATTGTAAAATCAGCCTAAAGCTATCCTAATTAAACTCTCTTACAACTAAAACTTAATTTAAAATGTAATAAACAGCAACGATGACGTAAAAGAAACACTAAATAATTTTTTGGAAGTGGAATCGATCGGTTGACAATTTATCAAAAGAATCGACTCGCGGAAATGATTCAGACTTCCCATCACTACCCAGCAAACATTGGTCCGACGGCAACGTCGTGTCCCTGGCCAAAAATAGTTGCGGCCAGGACGTCATAAATCGGTAAAAAATGTAACACAGAACATTTCCTAAAAATGCATTCAGATACATTTGTACATGTCTACAGTTGCATGTATAATTGTTATTTTAACTTTTAGCTCGTGTAGTTATGTTTAGTGTATCGGGTGAGAGGACGTCACCTGGCGACGTCTTTTACACGTGCATTTATAGTCCATCATGACCTTCTATGAAATCCTTGTTAAATATGCAAAAGCTGCGCTTAATCCTCGCATGGTTAATACTGCAATAATTAATGTAGTTGCCCATGAAGTTTTTAAGAGGTTGTGAAGAAGACGTCCACTGGCGTCCTTTACACGTCTAGTCAGGCTGTGAATACTATACGTCCACTGGCGTCTTTTGCACGTCTAGTCTAGCAAGACAGAAAAAAATTATCAGGATTTATAATTCTTTATAAAATACACGATTTATATACAAATTAATATATATTTACTTTATCTTGTTTTTATAAATTATAATCACAAAATGCACAGTATAGTCAAGTGATTGCAAAGCCACTGCATTTTAGTCATTATTTTAACCTGTTGTACCTGATGTATTCGTTGTTATTTTTTTATGGAATGTATATACATGTAAAACAGAAATATACCCGGTCACCATTTATGTCTGAGTTGGATGTAATTACCCAAACCCTCTGCCCAAACCATAAACTGTGCTGCCAAGATGTAGTAACAAAAGATCTCGCGATATTACAAAATCCTGCGATGGGATTATCTCGCGAGATGTTAACGCGTTCTCCCCATAGATTCTGGAACTTTGAACAAACACGAGGAGAGGACGGAGTTGTGTCGATATTATTAAAAATCTACTGTTGGGTAAGTACATTTTGTATTAGATTAACGTGCTTGAGTTTTACTTGTGTGACATGAATGAACCGAAAGAAATTATGCCAACATTGTCAACTGAAATTTACTGAGTTTGGCTAAAATTAGCCAGTAGGCTAAAAGTAACTTTGAACGTATACAACAACAACGGTATACCAAGTATATTGTTTGATGATGCAGTCATTACTGTAACTTATTAATGTAGCCTTTTGAGAGTTTCTTTCAGAAAGTAAATTATCTGAAATGGAATGAAATGTTTAGCTGGATTTTAACATGTATGTTTTCAGTAACTGCTTTAAAAATAAAAGCAGAACATATTTTATACAATAAAATAAAATGTAATGCATGTTGATTACCTTTTTCTAATGTGTCATTCATGATTCATTCATCTTGTTCCATGTTTTTATTTATTTAGCTGTAGACCATAAAAATATTTTGAAAATAAGTGCATATCATTTACCTCAAATTTTAATTTAATAATAATTTTATTTATTTAAATATATATATATTATCTTCCCTTAGATGCTGTGAAGAGGTGGAGCCCAAATGCTACAGACTCTGAAATTGATGCAGCAATGGCAGAACACCTGAAACACGAACAGCTGGTGGATACAAAAACTGAGCCAAACAATGTGTTTTTAAACGGATAGTTTCCCCAAAAATGAAAATTGTCATCATTTACTCAACCTCATGTTTCAAACCTGTATACCTTTCTTCATTGAATTTTCATTTTTGGGTGAACTATCCCTTTATATAATAATTCAGTATTTTGTAATTGGTATTTTAGTTTGGTTAACAAATGTTAAACATTGAAAAAATATTAAGAGACATTTTGGCTGTTCAAGATCAATAAAATGTGCTAAATCAGAACATGCTTCTTTTTTTCTTATGTCCACAAATAATGTGTTCTTGTTTGTGATGTAGGCCTACACGTGATTAAAACGTTTTATTGACGGTCAGGTCTGACTGGACCAATTTTGGACCTTTTTAGAACCTTTGTCAAGATGTGTAAACTTCAAGACTTGATTGCCTTTCACGATGTTACACAATATGTGTGTGATTATTTTAAATGCAGGCTTATATACACTTAAATTATGCAGCAACACATTTAAACACACAAATGACGACGCATTTAGACGTCCAGGGACGCGCTGAAGAGACGTTGAATTCACGGCCAGAAGAGACGTGGAATTCACGGCCAGATGACGTCAAAGACGTCGGTTCAACTTTCATTTTGGAACTATTTTTCAACCATGACGGGACGTGTCGGACGGACGTCTTTTCAACGGTCATTACACGTCCAAATGTTTGCTGGGTACGGTTGTTTGCTGCGCTTTAAACACCCAGCAAACAATTGGACGTGTAATGACCGTTGAAAAGACGTCCGTCCGACACGTCCCGTCATGGTTGAAAAATAGTTCCAAAATGAAAGTTGAACCGACGTCTTTGACGTCATCTGGCCGTGAATTCCACGTCTCTTCTGGCCGTGAATTCCACGTCTCTTCTGCGCGTCCCTGGACGTCCAAATGCGTCGTCATTTGTGTGTTTAAATGTGTTGCTGCATAATTTAAGTGTATATACGCCTGCATTTAAAATAATCACACACATATTGTGTAACATAGTGAAAGGCAATCAAGTCTTGAAGTTTACACATCTTGACAAAGGTTCTAAAAAGGTCCAAAATTGGTCTAGTCAGACCTGACCGTCAATAAAACGTTTTAATCACGTGTACATCACAAACAAGAACACATTATTTGTGGACATAAGAAAAAAAAGAATCATGTTCTGATTTAGCACATTTTATTGATCTTGAACAGCCAAAATGTATCTTAATATTTTTTCAATGTTTAACATTTGTTAACCAAACTAAAATACCAATTACAAAATACTGAATTATTATATAAAGGGATAGTTCACCCAAAAATGAAAATTCAATGAAGAAAGGTATACAGGTTTGAAACATGAGGTTGAGTAAATGATGACAATTTTTTTATTTTTGGGGAAACTATCCGTTTAAAAACACATTGTTTGGCTCAGTTTTTGTATCCACCAGCTGTTCCTGGAGCGTGTTTCAGGTGTTCTGCCATTGCTGCATCAATTTCAGAGTCTGTAGCATTTGGGCTCCACCTCTTTAAGGCATCTAAGGGAAGAGAATATATATATATTTAAATAAATAAAATTATTATTAAATTAAAATTTGAGGTAAATGATATGCACTTATTTTCAAAATATTTTTATGGTGTACAGCTAAATTAAAAAAAAACATGGAACAAGATGAATGAATCATGAATGACACATTAGAAAAAGGTAATCAACATGCATTACATTTTATTTTATTGTATAAAATATGTTCTGCTTTTATTTTTAAAGCAGTTACTGAAAACATACATGTTAAAATCCAGCTAAACATTTCATTCCATTTCAGATAATTTACTTTCTGAAAGAAACTCTCAAAAGGCTACATTAATAAGTTACAGTAATGACTGTATCATTAAACAATATACTTGGTATAACGTTACCGTTGTTGTATACGTTCAAAGTTACTTTTAGCCTACTGGCTAATTTTAGCCAAACTCAGTAAATTTCAGTTGACAATGTGGGCATAATTTCTTTCGGTTCATTCATGTCACACAAGTAAAACTCAAGCACGTTAATCTAATACAAAATGTACTTACCCAACAGTAGATTTTTAATAATATCGACACAACTCCCTCCTCTCCTCGTGTTTGTTCAAAGTTCCAGAATCTATGGGGAGAACGCGTTAACATCTCGCGAGATAATCCCATCGCATGATTTTGTAATATCGCGAGATCTTTTGTTACTACATCTTGGCAGCACAGTTTATGGTTTGGGCAGAGGGTTTGGGTAATTACATCCAACTCAGACATAAATGGTGACCGGGTATATTTCTGTTTTACATGTATATACATTCCATAAAAAAATAACAACGAATACATCAGGTACAACAGGTTAAAATAATGATTAAAAGGCAGTGGCTTTGCAATCACTTGACTATAGGCTACTGTGCATTTTCTGTGATTATAATTTATAAAAACAAGATAAAGTAAATATATATTAATTTGTAAATAAATATTGTATTTTATAAAGAATTATAAATCCTGATAATTTTTTTTCTGTCTTGCTAGACTAGACGTGCAAAAGACGCCAGTGGACGTATAGTAGCCTATTCACAGCCTGACTTGACGTGTAAAGGACGCCAGTGGACGTCTTCTTCACAACCTCTTAAAAACTTCATGGGCAACTACATTAATTATTGCAGTATTAACGATGCGAGGATTAAGCGCAGCTTTTGCATATTTAACAAGGATTTCATAGAGGGTCATGATGGACTATAAATGCACGTGTAAAAGACGTCGCCAGGTGACGTCCTCTCACCCGATACACTAAACATAACTACACGAGCTAAAAGTTAAAATAACAATTATACATGCAACTGTAGACATGTACAAATGTATCTGAATGCATTTTTAGGAAATGTTCTGTGTTACATTTTTTACCGATTTATGACGTCCTGGCCGCAACTATTTTTGGCCAGGGACACGACGTTGCCGTCGGACCAATGTTTGCTGGGCAGCTATAGAGCGCGTGACGGAATTGAATTGAGGTCTCGACTTTCGAGACGTTTATGGTTGAACTACTTGCAACGTGCAGCTTTGGAGCTACTGTCAAAAATCGCATACAGAGAAAAAGAAAACAGTTTAAAAGCTGCTCAGTGATGGAACGCAAAAACGGGTTACCGTGAACCGACTCTTCAGGTTGGAACTCCATGAGGAATTTCTCTGCTGTCCCAATGTGCTATCCGGTTTCTAAATACCATAACACAGACGTGCACATTGCATGAAGTGCCTCAAGCATACCAAACGTGTTTTATGGCCATGTTTGCCATCCCAGAAAATGATAGTCTCCTTCTTCTTTTTTGTCCAGGAATCTAAATCTATTTACTGTAGGTGTGTATGTAAACATCAAGTTCATGCAGGAGACACAAAAGAGGTGGAGACAAGTCAGAAAATCGTTGCCATCCCAGAAAACGATAGTCTCTTCTTCTTCTTTTTTTTTGTCCAGGAATCTAAATCTATTTACTGTAGGTGCGTATGTAAACATCTGTTCATGCAGGAGACACAAAAGAGAGAGGTCAGAAAGTCAGAAAAGCCCAACCCCCCACCCCACCATGGAATGCAGAAGTTATGCAACACATCTATGTACAGTAGCACTTCTCAGAAAATATACATACTTTACTGATAGACCTTAACTGCAGGACACAAGCAATGCGAAAGTTCTTGGTTCCAGTTGACTTTATATGGATTATACATTCCTTACTAATCTTAAACCCATAAAATCCACTTTAAAATGTTGCAGGGCCCTTCAGATTGATTTTGATCTTGTTTTTTGTTTTGTTTTGTTTGTTTGTTTGATAATTGCTTTAAAATATTTTTGGTGTGAAATGTAGTTGCTAATGCTGCTTTTCAACCATCAACACGTACTGTTAGCCAGTTAGAAAATCTATTACCTGTGCTGACCAAAGATACATTTATGATGAAACTGATAAATTAGATAAATTAGTAATGTTTTGCCATGTATGCCATATTTTTCCCAGCAATGTTGTTTATGGATTTATTTATTCCTGTTTTGGAGTTTTATATGTGATATTTATATATTTAAAATGCTGGCAGGTCAAGTAGAAATCTGAATTACAGTTGAAAAAACAAATATAATATAAACTAATCCAATGCAATATAAACTGGGGGAAATGTATAGGGGTCAAGTGTTCAATAACACAATGTTGGTTTAAAAATGAGCTTCTTCCAGGCTTTGTGTTAGCATAGATTACACATTCTTCCGTTTTCTACATCCTTTAAAGAATGTTCACCCCCTCAGAAAACATATCTGTCCAAGACGTGTGCTGAATAGAGGAAATGATGCTGCAACATAAGCTCAGTCATAACTATTTTGAAACTTCTCAGCAGTGTATTCTAGATCTTGTGACTCAGCCTATATCATTTTGAGGAGATGTTTGTCAGGTCAGAGACAAAGAGAAGCCTTATCTTTTGGTGCACAAACGTCCTGTTTAGCTGAGATACCATCAGATTGGGTGGCAGCGTGCATAGACGACTGTTACTGTTTCACTACTATGAAAATGGCCCCTCATAGGATTTCATTTCTAGAAAGGCACGCATGAATCCTTTACAATGTGTTTATTGTAAGTATTGTTGATCCTGTAAGAGCTTTAAGGATACTGAAGGTGGCACTGTTGCTTTTATTGGTGCTTTAAGGGCATGTTGCTGCAATATATGCCTCTTTTTGCATTGCATTGTACTTTATTATATATTGATTCAAATGTAAAAGTGTCCTAATCTCTTCTTGCAGGGGATATGAGTATAAAGAGAGTGCTTTTTTAAGAACTAAGTGATGGAGCAGGGGTCAGAAGAGAACATGGAGAGCTCTTGGACTCTGCTATCCTGGCTGGCTTCTGGTGTGTTGGTGTTTGGGGGTGCGGTGCCCTACGTCCCCCAGTACCAGGAGATCCAGAGGACCAATAATGCTGAGGGATTCTCCACAAGAGTCTGTCTGGTGCTGCTCATTGCTAATATACTTCGCATTTTCTTCTGGTGAGTGGAGGAGAGTTAATGTTAGAGCAGCAGCAGATAGAGTTCATTGATGGCGAAATGTGGAATGTGGAAATCGATGCGAAATAAACAGGAACAAAGCTTAACTAATAAAGGTTGATTTTATTAAGTAATTTTGTAGGCCTGTTCTTTTATTTATTTATTTATTTGCTCCCCCTTTTGTTTGGAGAATAGCCTTTCTTCTCAATATAATTTCTATTGTGCCATTTTATGTATGTTTCAAGCTCCTTTTTTTCTTTCTTAATAAATGAAAATTATTTTTAATTAACTTAATTAACACTCAGTATGAAATGGAACTTCACCCTATCCACCCTGTTAAAAACAAAGGGTATTTTTATAACTGGAGTTTTTCCTCCTGCGTTTAAAAAAAAATCCCGTCCACATGAAAACGCAAAAACACGCTATCAAGCGCTGTCAAGAGCATGCCACACCAGCAGGCGGCGATATAACCCTAATCGTAAAGCCACGTTGGCCAATCAGAAGCCTAACAAAAAGTTATTACAGGTTCCGGTAGGCGGATAATGGCGCAGCGCGGGCGCACACTGACGTCGCAAGGCAAAAACCCCGGTTTTCCTGTCTACACGACAACACTGTAACCGGCGTTTCTGAAAATCCTCACCCTGGCAGGGGTTTTCAAAAATGTTCGGTTTCAGTGTCCTGATACTACGTTTCCGTGTGGACGAACGGCCGAACCGCGTAAAAAAAGTCACGGTTATAAAAATACCCGTGTCCGTGTGGACAAGGCCTCTGTCCTCCAGAAAAAAAATTACGTTTGGCAGGTACGAATGCCATCACGTCGTACGGATTGCGTTTACACCTAGTAAAGATCAGAACACAATGCGAGCCAGACTACCTCCAGATGTGGTCAGGCAGATCCGATCACAATCCGATCACAACGTATTTACACCTTGCATTAACATGCATTTTTTATTATCCGGATAACTTATCTGGATACAGATCGCATTTTAATACCAGGTGTAAATGGGGTCATAGTCTACTTAAATCTGCCCCATTTTTACAATCGACTACAAGCTCATTTTTGTTTTTGATAAACCATTTCACTTGAATGTATGTAAAAATGTGGGAGAAAAGTGCTTTCATTTCATTGCGACTTTAATATGTAAAGAGAGCCATAATTAAGCCATTCATATGTTGTATTCTCTGAAAAGCATAAACATTTTCTGCTCTGTGGCTTTAAAAATGGCTTTGTTTGCGTATCCGAACCAGCCCAACATAACAGCAATGGCTCAACCGATGGTGTGATTTTGGGGCAGGGTTTTCAGTTTGTTTGACAAATGGAAAATGGCAGGACAGTCTGAGAAGCTTGTTTGAAAACAGTTGTTATTTGCGCAGTTCTGTTTGGTTTATCTAGAGGCACAGCTTTTACACACTTCACCTTTAAATTAAGTATTTATTGCTTTGTTTTGCAGGATAGGCAAACAGTTTGAGCTGCCTTTGCTCCTGCAGAGTGTGGTGATGATTCTCGCTATGTTGGCTATGCTTCATTTGTGCTGTTCCATCCAGAGCAGCAACCGTGTCAGTACCAAACAGCACCACATCACAGGTAATCACATTAAACAACACGCCGTATCCAGCAGTAGTGTGAAACAGTTCACTTACGAGAGGTTCTCTCGTATTGCGTAAGTTAGCTTACGCTACGGGAAAGATTAATCTTTTCGAGATATTGAAGCCAAAAAATTATCCTTATTTTTTGTATTCATTGTCAACGCAGTGCAGCAGCTAGCAGACCTAGAGCAGACTGCCTAGCGTGCTCATTGGCTGCCCTGCGGCAACTGCAGCGGCCTACCACTGAGCCCGGCGTGACGTCACGTCCAATACAGGGCCCCTCATCGCGTCTTAGCCCGCCAGAATGGGCGTGGCTTAGCGTATATAAGCGGGGCTCGGCTGTCTCCCTGATTTTCATCTCTTCAGCGAAGCTCTTCGCATCGCTGGATTCTGAGAGAAGCTGCCGCCGCCGTTGAGAAAGCGACAAAGCCAGCTTAGGACAGCGCCTGAAGAAGCCAGTCGTCTTCGCTGCCTTCAGCCATCCGTGCGAGCTACACTATCCGGCGACATATCCTTTTTCTCTGAGCTCTATTCTGTGCGTGTTCACCTATGCGACACCACCCTTCTAAAAGAGCAGCGAGACGTCTTTTTTAAGATGCCTCGCACTTCCTGTGGCTCGTGCAGAGCCCCGCTCAGCGTCGGAGACTGCCATGTGATCTGCGCTCTCTGCCTGGGCCAGGAACACGCAGCTCTCTCGTCGGGAGGCTGCGAGCATTGTGAAGAACTTCCGATGTCGACCCTGCGGGCTCGACTCGAAGTTTTTAACCCCGAAGCTGTCACTCCGCCCTTTGTAGGACCCCGCAAGAAGAAGGACCGTTCTCAAAGGCCTCCGGAGCCTGTGGTCACCGCGAATCGCTCGCCGGAGTTCCTCCCTCGAGCTTCGCTCTCGCCTTCTCCGCCTCCCCTCACGGACGCACAGCTGCCGGCTACGGCCCGCACTGCCATCGCTTCAGATGACGAGGCGGAAGGACAAGCCACAGGAGACTGCTGTTCCATTTTGGCGTCGGACAGTGAGGAGTGGTCGGGTTCTCATCATTCCGCCTCCTCCTCGATCCAGGAATCCGGCCGGACCCGTGCTGGAGTGGACGCTGAGCTGATGCGCCTCCTTTCCCAGGCCGTCGACCGACTCGGCCTTGAGTGGTCACCCGCGCCTAGCAGACTCGACGGCAGCTTTCTTCATCGCCGCCGTCAAGCGCCCGCATCCAGGTCTGCGCCTTTCCTGCCAGAACTCCACACGGAGCTTGCTAAATCGTGGAATGCACCATTTTCCGCGAGGCTTCACTCTCACGTCTCCGCGTCGCTCTCCCAAGTGGACGGCGCCGCCGAGAAGGGATACACCTCTATCCCCCCTGTGGAGGAAGCGGTTGCAGAGCACCTTTGTCCGCCCTCCGCGAGATGGCGCTTCGAACAGGCTACTGCAGTGGTACATTCAGCAGCCAACGAGCCGGTAATACGACCCGCTCGCCTCCACAAAACCGCCTTTTTCACAGCGACCCAGAGAAATCTCATAAAGAGTACAATGTCTAGTTATCCGCCTCATGCCGATGGTGTTTTGAGTGTAGAAAAAGTGCCCACATCTCAGTGTTCACCCCTACACACAAGCACAACACTTCCCATGTCATTCACAGAGCCCACTCTCATAAAGCTGGCAAATGCCGCTTGAGTGTTAAAAGTAGGAAATGTGCCCACGAGTCCGTGCCCACGCCTACTCTCTGCCCGCTCTATCACACGGCCAAAACAGCCTCATATCGATCAGATTATGAATGTAAGTCCCGTGCCCGCTCACGAGCGCTCACGCTTACTAACACACACCTCTCCACAGGCGCCGCTCGCGCGACACAAGGTTATCACAAAACGTTCCCCATCCAAAGCGATCGGGACGTCACATATGAGTGTAAAGCGCATGCCCGCTTACGAGCGCTCACGCTTACTAACAAACACCCCGCCCCAGGCGCCGCTCGCGCGTCTCGGAGTTGTCACAAAACGTTCCCAATACAAAGCGATCGGGGTGTCACATATGAATGTGAGTCCCGTGGCCGCTCACGAGCGTTCACGCTTACTAGTAAACACTTCGCCCAAGGCACTGCTTGCGCATCACAAAGTGATCACAAAACGCTCCCCATTCATAGCAATCGGGACGTCACATATGAAAAAGCCTGCCACCGCTGTCAGCGAGCCGCCGTATTCAAGCACAGAGGGCGCGCGCACACCTCCGGTTTAGTTTCTCGAGCCCACGCAGTGCGGTGATCAGAACCCGGAGGCCATTCTGCCCCTAGCTGTACATATAAAAGCGTGGGAAGCGATTCCAGGGGTATCAGAATGGGTGCTAAGCACAATAAGGCAGGGCTATTCGCTACAGTTCGACCACCGCCCCCTGCGCTTTCGAGCACGGACCCCGATGAAAGTGAATGTGGAAGTAGCACATCTACTCCGCGCAGAAATAGCGAAGCTGCTATGCAAAGAGGCCATAGAACTGGTACCGCCTTCTCTGAGCGAGTCAGGCGTTTACAGACGTTATTTCCTCGAACCAACGAAGGACGGAGCTCTCAGACCTATTTTAGATCTGAGACATTTGAACAAAGTTCTTGTGAAAAGACCGTTCAAAATGCTTACGACCAGAAAAATCCTCGCGCACGTTCGCCCGAGGGACTGGTTTATCTCTCTCGATCTGAAAGATGCCTATTTTCAGATTCAGATAATACCCTGTCACAGGCCATTCTTGAGATTCGCCTTCGACGGTCAGGTATATCAATACACCGTCCTGCCGTTCGGCCTGTCTTTAGCACCCCGTACATTCACAAAGTGCAGCATCTTTAGCACCCCGTGCATTCACTAAGGGCAGCATCGCCCCTCTGAAGACATTTCAGAGGATGCTGGGTTGTATGGCCTCAGCTGCTGCAGTGCTCCAGCTGGGCTTAATGCGCATGCGCCCACTACAACGCTGGCTGAACGCTCGAGCGTCCCGCCGAGCTTGGGCCTCCGGCTGCGAACGAACCAGAATGACTCAGAGCTGCATTACGGCTCTGCAGCCCTGGTTAGCGGCCGACTGGTATCAGCGGGGAGTGATGATGGGAGCTGTCTCGTATCGAAAGGTCATCTCAACAGATGCGTCCAACTCAGGTTGGGGCGCTCTCTTCAAAGGGCAGACCGGTCTTTGGCCTGTGGTCAGACCAAGAGAAGCTCCTTCACATAAACTGTCTGGAAATGATAGCGGTCGAGAACGCGGCGAAGCGCTTCCTCCCGTTCATACAGGACCACTATGTTCTAGTCCGTTCGGACAACATGTCTGTGGTGTCCTACGTGAACCGTCAAGGCAGTGTCAGATCCAGGAACCTCTGCGATCTAACAGAACACCTCCTCGTTTGGTCTCAGCACTCACTGAGAGATGCGCATGTGCCAGGCCACCTGAACGACGGCCCAGACAAACTGTCCAGGGACAATATTCCTCCGGGGGAATGGTCCCTGCACCCCCAAACAGTCCAGTCGCTATGGCGCCTTTTCGGCAAAGCTGAAGTCGACCTCTTTGCGTCAAAAGACAACGCTCACTGCCCAATGTTCTTTTCGAAGAACGAGGACGTGCTAGCCCAAATCTGGCCCAGCCGCCCGCTGTATGCTTTCCCTCCGGTCTCACTGTTGCCACAGGTAATCAAGAGAATCAGGGAAACGCGCCACTCGGTGCTCCTTATAGCCCTGTGATGGGAGAACCAAACTTGGTTCCCGGAGCTGACGTGGCTGTCACAAACAGCCCCGTGCCCGATTCCGGTGAGGACAGATCTCCTCTCTCAAGCTCGCGGCTCGATCTGGCATCCCCATCCAGAGCGCTGGTCTCTGCACGCATGGTTGATCAACGGATACCCGTTATCCTGGCCGAAGGAGTGATGAACACAATTATGCAGTCTAGAGCTCCCTCTACTAGAAAGCTTTACACGTCTAAATGGTCTGTGTTCTCCAAATGGTGCACCGACAAAAATCTGGACCCACGAACTTGTGGGGTCTCGCGGTTGCTTAGTTTCCTTCAAGAGCTGTTGGATAAGGGGAGGTCCCCCTCCACGCTTAAAGTCTATGTGGCGGCCGTTGCAGCATTCGCAGAGTCGACGCGCGGCCGATTATGTCTGTCAGCGCTGCGTGTCTTGAGTTCGGACCGAATGACTCTAAAGTCATCCTCAAACCTAGACATGGCTATGTCCCTAAAGTGATTGGCACTCCGTTCAGAGCGCAGGTCATTTCTCTATTGGCTCTGCCAGCATCCGATAGCGAGAGCGATGTTAATCTCCTCTGCCCGGTCAGGGCGCTGAGGGCTTACATTACACGCTCCGCCCCTTTCAGGCGCTCGGAGCAGCTTTTCGTTTCGGTTGGTGGGCGCACCAAAGGTCTCGCCGCCTCGAAACAAAGCCTGTCCAGATGGATAGTGGACGCTATCGCAGCTGCTTATGCGTCAAAAGGTCTGCAATGCCCTTTGGGCGTCAGGGCTCATTCCACTAGAGGCATGGCCTTGTCGTGGGCATGGTCCAGCGGAATTTCAATTCATGACATATGTGTGGCTGGGCCTCCCCGTCCACCTTTGTTAGGTTCTAAAACCTGGAAGTTCCCGCCCTGCAGGCTAAACTTCTGTCAATATAAGTGAGATGTACGTTCTGTCCAGATCTGATCGTGTGCAGGCTACTCTCACGTGACTTAGCTCTCCTGGTTGAGCTGCACTATATTGGGTTAATATGCTATATGCTTATACGGACCGGCGACGCTTCTCTGTATTCCCTATGAGTGCTTATCTACTTGTGCCGGCCCGCGTTGCTGACCGCCTTATTCCCCGCTTATCTGGGATCCCCGGGTTTCCCTGGGACTCATGAAGTGGATGCTTGGCGCGCACGGCATTGACAAAGGGTTCCCGTAGCGTAGGCTAACTTACGCAATGCGAGAGAACCTCTCGTAAGAGAACGTATCGGTTACCAAACGTAACCTCGGTTCTCTCTAGAAGAGGGAACGAGTATTGTGTAACCT